GTCTCAAACACAATAAAACCCTCACAAGTGAGTTCATCACAACATGTCACCAACAAGCAGAACATCAGTCTGTCTGTGGAGCAGCCGTCAGGTAACGGTAGTGATGTCATACGGTAGTGATGTCATACGTCAGTGATGTCATATGGAGTTTGATCAGAAGAACAGAATCATCAATGAAAGATGATCACTGAGATCTTTGTTTAGCTGATTTTAGAACTTCTTGTGCTCATGAAAGACTTTTTGTTTACATACAAGAGTAATAAAGCAATGTGGATTATTTTCGTTATTGAGGAACAAAACAATCTTCCCGTCCTTGTGGTTTATCCCACAGGTTCCTCTCCTTGGTTCTGTTATAGCTTCCTCAGCGCTGTGGCCCTGAACGTGTGACGCTGTTACCTTGTTCGGCGGTGCTTCTATCTGCCACAGCTTCCTGAGGCTGTGATGAACTCGCAGACGGTCACCAAGGCACCTGGACGACAAACCATCACAAAAACAAAAAGAGACAGAAAACTCAGGTGAGAGGACATTAAAGCAACCCCCAGTTAGGATTATCACGCGGCGTTGTCCTTCTTTGTCACTATTGTCGGTGGCTTTCGGTCTCATTTATTCCTACCCACAATGCACTAGGTCATTATTCACAAATTCTCACAGCTCGGTGTAGTTCTGTCCCACTGTCAAATCATCATTTTTCAGGACTCTCTCGCAGATATTTTGAGCCCTTTATGACGACTTTCCATAAGTCTGGCTTTGCAGACTTTGCCCAATTGGATTACCCACAATTCATAGCGTTGTAACGTTAAACACAGGGGTTACCAGTGGAAGCATTGAGACAAAAAGATAAACACAGAGGACGAGACATGGATGTTCAGCCTGACACAGAAACACTAAGGGTTAAAAGTGGTACATTAAAAACACAGATTACATTACACAGATTTATTCATCGTTGAAGCTGTTTTGACAAAAACGAGTAAATAGATTATTTGACAATGACCTCTCATCTTGTCAGGAGAGATCCTGGAAGACGTTTGAATCAGAAGAGAGAAGTACAAAATAAATACTCGTACAAAACAAGTTTCATGGGGACACTTACTGCAAAGCCATCTTCTCCAGATCAGCATCCTTGAGGTACCACAGCCCGACCCCGGTGATCTTTTGCGCTGCACAACAGAGAAGAAAAACATAATTCATGTTTGGGTTTAATATGTCACAGCAGTCCCAATAAGGAAATATTAAACAAAGCACCAGAAACAACGGTCTATTCATCCAAACCTCTAAATGTATCTTCCCAATCTCCGAGACCTTCTGCTCGCAGGTACCGACACGTTTGCTCCACTCCCCATCGCATGTAGTCAGACTCCTGCAGCCGGGGCTCCGACACTCTCTTCTCCGGCGTTTTGAAGCTGTCATCGGGGGTCAAAACCGCCTCCAACGGTCGTTTTCTGCTCTCCATGTTGGACCGTAGAACGGGCGGGAGGTTCGGGGTTAAACGGCTGAATTACAGCCGGTAATGTTCCCAAAAAGGTCGACCCCTCCAAAAACAAACAGCTGATCAAACCACTCTGCAAAAAAGACACCGAACTGGTGAAAAATACCCGGGTTTTGTTGCTACACCGGGGTGTGGCGACACTTCCGGTGACTGTTTTTTCAAAATAAAACACGACAGGCGAAGTGTGTACAGTATTCAAACGGTGAGAGACAAATTAATTGTTCCATGACACGATGTCCTAAATACCAGTAACACTCACACAAGACCAACACCTACAGATCTTTCAAACTAAATAGTTGTGGTTGGGATTTTTGCTGCATATTTTTATTATTGGACATTAATCACAATGCTTTATTTGCTTCAACCCCCGATCAGAAACTAAATCAAAAGTTGATGATGAGCTCCATTAAACGCTAACCTGGACTCTATTGAATAGGTGGACATATTTAAAGATTTTATTTCACAAGTAAATCAACTTACTTCCGGTATTGTACTTGCTTGTTTAAAGTTAACTTGATGCAGGTCGCTTCCTATTGGCTGGCACAAGGAGGGCGGAGCCACAAGCAGCGGAGCGAATGACGTCGGTTGAATCTACTCGTCATCTTGAGAGTCCTGCTTCTATGGAAGAAGAAGCTCTGAGGCGTTCGAGGTATACTGAATGAATAGTGCTGAGCAAATTTGAATTGTAACGTTATTATGATGTGTTCAAATGTAACTTTTGAAAGAAACAAAAATCAGTTTTGAAGGAGGAGATGTTTTCACAGCACTATAAAATATCTATTGAAGAGAAAACTATGACTTGTTTAATTTCCTAACACTAGATCTAAGCAGCTTTATTGTTGTTTTTAATAAAAGCAAGTATTTCAATAGAAACACAATTATCTATTCATTTAAATGTTGCGTTTTTATGCAAATAACCACAATAGATGAAGATAAAGTAAATGGATAACATTTAGAATTATAAAATAAATAATAAAATAAAGTCAAAGAACCATGCTAAAAGCTTGTTCACAAAATCTGAACAAAGCATAAATTTGTCCTTTTAAATATCACTTGACTTTACCATCGTGGTGCAATAAAGTCTAAGATCAAATTAAAACTGCTTGGTATACCATTGGGTGAGGAATTAATTTCATGTCCTGTTATATGTATTTCTCCAGTTTTATTTGTGTGTCAGCAAAAGTGCTCGCATTTGTTTGAAGAAGTATTAGTTTCGTACAGATTCTCAGGTGACTCTGGAAAGGTTCCTTGTGGATCAAGGAATTACACATCAAACGGAGCCAGATTACTCGGCCTTGTTAGAAGTATACATTGTAACAACTTCATGTAATTTAAGTGTTGTCATGATCTGTTTCTCTGATAAGCTGATTCTGCGGACAAAACCAGGACGGAGCACAGTGCTTGAAAAATGTGAAGAAACTGGGACGTTGTGTGGAACGAGGAAGATAGTTAACATTCTGGCAACACACATGGTTGAGACTGAAGGGTAAGTTTCTTAAAACGACGGTATAGATAGGACTGTAAGGACGAGCGAAATTGTGTGAAATTGGAAAGATAAAACGAATACAGAAGTAATTGGCATATAGGTAAAATGTCTGTGAACATCATTTACCTCTTTGTGGGATTATCACGTCTCTGTTCTCTACTCGTCTCAAACCTTCCTCATTCGTGTCCGTAACCGTAAAGCTAAGCTCTGACTGCCACCTCTTTACAACACATTTTGAATCTTTAATCATTACAAGTAATCAAAAACATTTACAGAAATCCTCCCAGAATAGACGGCGGGTCTTTATGGCAGAATTACCGCGACATTTCTGAATCCTTCCCTCAATGGCCTCTCTTTGGCGTTTGAGCTGCTGAATAATAGATTTGAATTTCATCCGACCCCCCGAATAACAAATACATTTTACATATACAGCTCGTCTTCTCAATATTGCCTGACATCGTAGGATAGTTATGTCTTAACTTTCTCTTTCAACACGCTGTAATGACGTTAGATTCAGGCGGATACGTTGGCCTCTGGTGATTGGTTAGCGAGAAATCGAACCCCCTACCTCAATACCTCAATACATAAATGTGTAGGAGTAAAGGCAACGTCAGACCGAAGATGGAAACAGAGTGAAAGGAGTTTACATTCTGTCTATCAGTCAAGGGTGGGACCGTGATACGGCGTCTCAGCAGCCTGAGGGAGTAGGATAAGAGCCCGCTGCTCTTATCCTACTCCCTCAGCCTAAAGAAAACGCAGAAGATCTGCACAGCTCAGGCCTTGGACCATCTGGTTCTGTTTCTCAAGGATACTGGGCTACAATAAAAATTACATATTGTCACTGAAGAGAATATTAAGACGCAACTTGATATGTAAAGGGATAAGTTTGGAAACGATGACGTAGACACCCACGTTTGCTACTTGATTGGTTGTTAGTCACGACGTGTCCTTCCCTGATTCGTCACGCCCCGATCACGTGACCACCACCCGGAAGATCACAAACAACAGTCTTGATTAACGATCGACTACCAGGTGAATTCAACATGGACAACTGATTACAGGTGTTGCTGACCTTGCTGTCTTCACTAGCAGCTGTTGTGCAGTTAAATTCTGCAGTTTTGTGGAGGAAACAGTTGCGAGCGGCGTGTCCAGCGGCATTATCAGCCCTGAAGTCCTGGTTTGAGGCTTTGAGGAGGGCGATGGACACAAAAAGGAGGACTTGCCTTTCCTTATTATTGCTTATTTTGTTCTGCACAACTACTGTGAAGTTCACACAGAAACTGTAAAGGAACAAAAGCAGTAAACGCTCCAGTACGACAGAGACTTCAGCCACCCGGCAAAGCTACGAGTGAGAAAACAGACAACGAACCCGAGGAAACGAGTGACAGACGTGTGTTGACTACATTTATTGACCCATAATCTAGTAAACTTTCATGTGTAAGTGTTTTTATTTTAACATGAAATGTGTCTGTTTGAGTTTATAGAGGAAGACTTTAAGAATCAAGCACGACCTTTCATTGTTAAAGACTACTTTCTGTAACAAAGCAACCAATCTACTTCCTGTTTACAACGACACCCGCATGCCCAATGTACTTGAATAGTCACGTAATATTCGTTTTCACGCGTGCTAGTCTGGACGGAGGTCAGATGATACAAAGAATAACAAGGTGTCTTTGAGTGTATGAGCAGGTACCACTTTTAATTACATACACCTGTAAAGTGTATTGTGAAATGTGCTGCTGTAGGTTCAAACAACACCCATTGTGTTCAGAATTGTTGATGATGATTTTGAAACCTCAAATCCACTCGGGTCAAAACAAGGCATTCCTAAGCTTGGATGTTTATATGTTACCACCACGTCTAAACTGATCCCTGATGAATATCCATCTCATTTCTTTGTTTCATTCCCAACGTGAAAAAAATGTCTTAGACCAATGCTGACTTTGTTTGTAGACGTCAGTGCGAGAGCAAAATGGGATGAAAGTATAATTTACTGAACAACTACTATGTTACCAAGTAATGGGCGACAATGTGGGTCTGAACTCAATTCTATGAGTCTTTCAGTGCAAACTGCTACTGCAGGATGTGTTACTGACTAAGCATCAGCTGAAACAGTGTTCAGCATAAATGATCCATGTGAGTCGCTTTGCACCAAATTAACCAATGAGGACCGTTACAGTTATCTCGGTGAGAATCCAACGGAACATTCTGGTTTTGCAGGGTTTCTACTCGTCCATATGAAAATGTCCTGTAAAATAGTTTCAACATTATCTTCCAATGAACTACTAGTCTTTTCATCGTTTCACATGAAATGGTAGTTAATAGACCAGAGTATTGAATAGACTGCTGTGGTTTTATGTGATGGAAAGTACTTCAGACAACACCCATTAGGAGACAATGGAACAGGCTGCTCTTGGTTATGTTATGAAAACACTGTGAACACACCCAAGTCACATGGTAGCACATACGTTAAAGTTAAAGTTACTGTGAGGAACCTTTAACTGGTCCTGAACCAGTCTCAGTCTAGTCCTGATCCTCTATCAGACCTCCATCAGTAAAGAGACCATCAGAGAGAAGATGGTCCGTTTCTATAGAGTTATTCTTAATGCTCGTCATCAAAGCCACCGGGTCGGATTCTGGTGAAACCAGATGAACTCATGCAGGTTCACCAGAACCTCCTTCAGCTCAGACTCAGATAAAAAATTATAGTGATATAAATAATAATCTCATATCTTGACGTCCCTACCTGAACACTGGTGCAGGTGTTATGCAGTTATTCCATGGGTGAACTTTGAACACTGACTTGTTGACGTGTTCTCGTCGTCCATTGTTCGTATTTTACGCTGTAAGAGTTAAAACACTTTCAGTGTTAATAATGACATTTTACAAAAGTGATGATTTAACAC